CTCCCAATTTCTGGCTGTGTGGAAGGACATGTGTCTGCAAGCATTGGAGGGTAATTCTTAAATTCTGGTGTGGTGATGGAGTTGAAATTCAGCCTAGCTTTGCTCTTTAGTTTTAAAAGGTGTGAGGTGAAGCCGTGATGTTTTTGAAGCACAACTGGTAATATCAAGCATTTGAGTGATTACAGTGTTTATCATTTTGTCTACTATTAAAAAATCAGACTTCAAAGTTTCAGCACATACAAATACATATGCGCCTTGACCAATCCTGTAAATAAAGGGGAGGGGGGGGGGAAATTGTCTGCAAATGGTAAGGCTGAAATGACTGAGAATGTTAAAAAAAATCCTATGAATTCTGACTCTCTGGCCACTTTTTTCCCATATATAAGGGCGTGGCATTGTTCCGCGAATGGCCAGAGGGATATTAGCCCTTTCCTGTACATAAAGGAAGCAGTCCCTTTGCTTGGGCTGCAATTGCTAGCTTTGGTGAATACTTGAATCGCTGAGTTTCTCTTTTTTGTTTTAAAATCTAACCCTATTTTTAAAATTTACTCCTTACCCTTCCCTTCCCTTATTCAAATGGTAATTTAGCCCAAAGATTCAACATTTTCAATAGTATAAAAGGTTTGCTGAGACATGAACTCTGCACATGCACAGAGGCTAGATCAGCTAAAAAAAGGGGGGGGAGGGAAGAAAGAGAGAGAGAGGAAGGGGGGAACTGTAAGGGGGGAGAGGAGGTTTCGAGAGCTTGGGCTGCAGGGAGAAACTTATCCAAATTTCCTTATGTAAAACTTGGAACCATTGAGGGAAATCACCCTTAATGTGTCCTTTGCTCCAGGGGCTACGTAAGACAAAAGGGTTAAGTACTAGCCCATCAAAAGTCAAGAGGTTTCCAGGTTTCAAATCTTAACATGCCAAATTCTTTTCACAGGTAAATATTAAAGCGCTCCCACTGTGAGTTCCACTCTTGACTAGTTCTCTCCCCCCCCAATGGGATTTAACTTTTATAACAGGCTTTGTGTGCATTATAGGAACAGTATTCCTGACAGAGATTTTCAAAGGAAATAAAAATTTCCCCTTTAAAACAGGATACGTGAACTCGGACCCACATAAGCAAAATGTTTAATAACTTGCCAATTGTGTTCAAATTAACAAAGGTTTTGTTCCTCCGTTTCTTCCACAGCCAAACTAAGTGAAGGAAAGCAAACAAACTTGGCAGATAATAACAGTAATTATATGGAAATGTGATAATAATATTGGAATGAATGAAATGCTTAATCCACTAAGATTTTTATTATTTGCAGCTTCCAACGGAAACTGAAGGACATCCTTTTTGCCTTTTGCCCCTTCCCTTTTCTAACTCTGTCTTTTAAGTCCCCAAAACCCTGCCCCTTACAGGATATCACTTCTACAAATGTGTTACTACTGTTACGGTAAAATCTGGGTGCGGGGTTACTCTGCCACCCAGCTCGTCGGACTGAGTCCGCGGGTCCCTGCGGGAGAAAAATGAGCTCAGCCGGAGACGGGAGCAAGTTCCAGGAAATCCAAGTTTATTGCGCAACAGGTTCAAGATGAAATTGAACCCCGAGTAAGGGGTGACAGGAGTGTTTGAAAGTTCCCTCCATGTCCCATAATACAGTGCGAAACGCGTCATGAATACATTACAAAGAGGTTGGGTTACATGGGTGATATCACAGAGAGGTTGGGTTACACGGATTAGCATAGAGGACAGGGAGGAGGGAATATGCAGAGCTGAAGATATGCATAGATAAGCACTTCCTGAGTACCGGTGATGAGAAGACAATGGTCCGAATATGTAAAGTCTGCCACCTGGTATTGCCCGGAGGAAGGGCTGGGCGAGGTGATCTGACCAGATTAAGGTCTTCCTGAGTACGTGACTCCTCGCTCGAGGGATTATGGAGTCCTGGAAAGGCTGAGTCGATTGACACCAGAACCAAGGAAATCGGAGAAGGGGTTGATTTTATATGAATTTAAGAAGTTTTCAGTCTATTTCGTCCATTCTTACAATAATAATAGAAAACGGAAACAAACTAGATACATTTGACAGTTTTACGAGCTAAACTGGATACATTGTAACAGGGTTTGACAGTTTTACGAGGTTACGAGTTTCGATTCCATTGTTCTCTCAGCGGGGAGCTGTCAGCAGCTTGTCAAGAGGTTAAATGAGGCGTGCAGAGGCTCGCTGAGCTGGTTCTGCAGAGCAGATGCACGTATCTGATTGGTCAAGACGCGGCCATTGGAACAAACGGGGATGTATTTTGACACGGTCGACTCATAATAAAGATGGAGCGAGAGAAGGGATAGGGGCTTGGGAGTTTTGGGCTTATTTCGCCCGTGGAAAAGGGGAAAAGGGTTGTGTGTGGTGCTTGTGCGACAGTGAAGAGGCTGGGGAAGGGGTGCATAGTGTAGTGGGCGCTCTTGAGGTCATCGTTTCGGACGTGGGAGGGTGGACCCCCGTTTACCGTATCAGTCCCCCATTCGGAGATAGATTTGCGTCAAAGTTCTGCAAGAACTTGCAAATCCTTTCTCCGCACCTAGATCTGAGTGATCTCGTATTCCCCTTCCCTAAATGCCTCATCTGTACATATTCTGGGAAAGTAGGGGTACGCTGTGAGCGGGAATACGCTCGGAGTGAGAGAGAGGTAGCTTGAGTCGGGCAGCGAAGAAGGGAACAGCAGGGAGGAATACAATGTATGGCACAACAGAGGGTCAGGACACAAAGGATAACAATTAAAACAGTAGAAATTACGACTTTCAGTAACTGTCGGAGCCATCCTAACTTGGGTAACCATCCCCACAAGTCTACATCGGACAGCCCTTCATGTTGTATATCTTGTAGCTTTCCTGCTAGTTCATGGATATTATTTAAATGTCCAGTTATATTGAGGGATTGATCGGTTACATATGTACAACACTCAGCTCCTATTAGGGCGCATGTCCCTCCTTGACTAGACAGCAGGAAGTCGGTTGCAATCCTGGTCTGTAGACTGAGTTGTCTTACCTCGGATAGTTCGGACACCAAGGAGTCGGTAATCTGAGTGGCTTCTTGCATAAATTTGAGGAGAATGTCTGTAAGGCGAAGAATGTCTACATGGTTAGATCCGGCTCCATAGGCGGGAAAGAGGGCACGGCCTACGGTTTCTCCATTTGCAGCAACGTCTGAGAGGTCTGACAGCTGTTTTTGGTCCCTTTTATTCCTCTGTCTTCCGGGGGGGCAGGTGCGGGACAACTCTAATTCCGGGGACGATGTACCCCACAAAACAGGAGCCCGACATGTGTGGGCTCACCCAAGTATATGCGCGGTGTCCGCAAATCCAGAATAAGCCACTGAGGTAAGATTCCATCCTTCCTGAAGCAAAAGTCTGTAACAGCATAAAGTCTGTGAGTTGTGGTTGCCAGGTGGGGGGTTGGCTGACAGCAGTAGCCCATGCAATGGTGAGATTGGGGAAGGTCTGGGAACCACGTGGGTCAGTGATGGTGACTTGGCCATCGGCTAGGATTTCTAAGTCAGTATTGCAGGTACTGGATCCGATGAAGGTTCCCTCTCCAGTGAAACTGCGGCAAAGGGGTCCTTTCGTGGGGCCGGTGAGGTACAGATATTGGTGTGTTAGATTTAATGCAGTTAGGTTCCAGGAGACGACATCTCCGGAGCGAAATTGTTCTAAGGTCACTGGCACCGGGACCAGGGGTAGACTCTGTTGAAGGTGGCTGGGAGCATGAGCGCAAATCCAGCAATCGGGGTATGGTGCTTCTTTAGCGACCTGGCTGAGAAGTTTGATGTAGGAGTTCTGTTCCCAGGAGGAAAGAAGGTCTTCTCCTGGGAGGGCAGGTGCAGGGCCTAGTCGTCGAGGTGCAGTGCCAAATGGGTGGAGTGGGTCAGAGGTATTTAGGAGCCGCCTATCCCGGGCAATGCCGCCGCACCTCAGAGGCCCAACGTTGTCCCATGAAGGAGAGCGTGAGGGGTGTATGGGATGGTGCCACCCTTCTAGGTAGTCGGCTCCCTTCCAATCACGGGTGACTCCCAAGTTCCAAAGGCAGCAGAATCGTCTGAGGCAAAGTCCTTGGAGTTGGGGCTTGTGGGGTTTTGGGGTCGTGAGGAGGCACTGGAACCCAAAGATCAAGTTCTCGGAGGGGTGATTGGGGTCTGTGTATACGTGGGAGGCCGTTCCCAGTTCGGCCTCGGTCCAGTTAGGGCTGCGTGTGACTTCTCCGTTGTTATAGAGTAGGTAAGTTCCATTATAACATTTCAGCCGGTAAAAGGAGTGATCAAGTGTGAGGGCAGCTGACCCGATGCGACGTAAGTCCTTATCTCGGATGAAGAGTTCCCAGTATGCGCTGTCGGTGAGCCGGGGTACCAGGGAATGACGCAGTAGAGTTCGAGATTCTGGAAGGCAGAACTCAAAGTCCCCCATTCGGTCCGGGTTGGACTTCCCTCCCGTTTCGACCTTGTGATAGTCGAGGAAATGGTAGTCTGTTTGTAGTCCAGTGCAGTGGCTCAACGAGGAAGGTGTTGTCGCAGTCAGGGTGACAAGGAGGATGAGAGCAGTGGTGGGGTTCATGGCTCCTGGCGGGGGGGGGTAGTTGAAGCTGCGGATCGAGTTGTCAGACGCAGGCGATAGTAGTCTGTGGAGCCGTCAAACGAGCTGTCAAAGGCAAGTAATAGCAGTCTATGGAGCTGTCAAGCGAGCTGTCAAACGAGCTGTCAAAGGCAAGTAATAGCAGTCTATGGAGCTGTCAAACGAGCTGTCAAACGAGCTGTCAAAGGCAAGTAATAGCAGTCTATGGAGCTGTCAAGCGAGCTGTCAAACGGGCTGTCAAAAGCAAGTAATAGCAGTCTATGGAGCTGTCAAGCGAGCTGTCAAACGAGCTGTCAAAGGCAAGTAATAGCAGTCTATGGAGCTGTCAAGCGAGCTGTCAAACGAGCTGTCAAAGGCAAGTAATAGCAGTCTATGGAGCTGTCAAGCGAGCTGTCAGACGAGCTGTCAAAGGCACTTAAGGCGAAGTTTGATGGCGTTGGAGTCTGGGACGATCTCGGACGTCCAGTTAGGTGCTGTAACGTCCGGTCTGGCGTGTTGGGTCGGAACTTGGCTCTGATCAGGTCCGGTCTGTTGGGCCCGAACTTGGCCTCGGTCAGGTCCGGTCTGTTGAGCCCGATCTTGGCCCCGATCCGGTCCGGTCTGTTGAGCCCGATCTTGGCCCCGATCCGGTCCGGTCTGTTGAGCCCGATCTTGGCCCCGATCCGGTCCGGTCTGTTCCTCGTCGTCGTCGATGTAGGTAGCCGGCGAGTGGGGTGGGGTCTCGTAGGCGTAGTCCTCCTCGGGGTTTTCTAGCGTCTCTTGGGGTGGTGGGGATGTTTTGCACCTCGTGTGATGTAGCCACGCGTTTTTCTCTCCCACTTTCACGGCAGTCGGGGAGGTCAGTAGTACTTGGTAAGGACCTTCCCACGCAGGTTGGAGCGGCGCCTTCTGATAGACCTTAACGAGGATCCAGTCGCCGGGATGGAAAGAGTGGGCATGGACGTCAATAGGCAGGTTTTGTCCCTCGATAGCCGCGTACTGGTGGAGGCGTAGTAGCTGTGTCTGAAGCTGAATAATATAGTTAGTGAGTTCCGCCTCCCCCACGTCCAGTTCTGAGAGAGGAAACAAGGTGTTGTATACGGGAGGGGGTCTCCCGAATAGAAGTTCGAATGGGGAAAGTTTCAAAGGTCCTGTTGGGGCACTTCGTATATTATGAAGGACCAGTGGGAGTGCATTTACCCATTTCAGCCCCGAGAGTCTACAGAGTTTTCCCAGTTGCATTTTTATCTCCTGGTTCATACGTTCTACTTGACCAGAGGACTGTGGGTGGTACGGTGTATGAAGGTCCCACTTTATTTGGAGGGCTTTGGCCACCAATTGTACCACTTCTGCAGTGAAGTGAGTTCCCCTGTCACTGTCTAGGCGGCGGGGTATCCCATATCGAGGAATGATGTCTTGAAGGAGGGCCCTAGCGACTACCGATGCGGTGGCCTTTCGACAGGGGAATCCCTCCACCCAAGAGGAAAATTGATCTATTATAATCAGGGCATGCTTGAAGCCTTGGCATTGGGGTAAGTCGATAAAGTCTAGCTGTAAACTCTCAAAGGGGACAAAGGCCCACGGTCTAGCTCCTGGTGGTTTCCTTTTGGGCTCACGTTTGGGGTTGAAGTGATGGCAGGTAATGCAGTTCTTGGAGGCTGCTGTAGCTGCGGTGGCTATCCCTGGGGCGTACCAGGACCTCGTAACGTGGTCTATTAATCTCCATTTTCCCCAGTGAGTCTGTTGGTGGAGGATTCTCACTAATTTTGGAACCCAGGCTCTTGGAAGGACTGTCCTGCCATCGGGGAGGGTCCAAATACCATTCTGTTCAGTTGCGCCCACGGATTCCCATTTTGATTTTTCCTCCTCTGGGGCTGAATCATATATTTGTGTTGCGTCTATGTCTGTAGGTAATTGTAAGGCTTGAAATTCGGACTCATTATTTGGGGGGCGAAGGGCAGCAATTTGGGCAGCTTTATCAGCCCGTCTGTTTCCCTTTGAGACCGGGTCCCTCCCTTTGGTGTGTGCTTTACAGTGGACTACTGCTATTGCACTCGGTAAGTGAATGGCTGTAAGAAGTCTCTCTACTAGGGCGGCGTGTGAAATTTGGGAGCCGGCTGCAGTTAAGAAGCCCCTTTGAAGCCAAATTTGACCGGTTGTGTGTACGAGCCCGAAGCAGTATTTACTGTCCGTGTAAATGGTGGTTCTCTTCCCTTCGCCAAGTTCACAAGCACGTATGAGTGCAATTAATTCAGCGGCTTGGGCGCTATACTGTGGGTTAATTGGGTTGGATTCCAGGACTTCAAAGTCAGAGACGACTGCGTACCCTGTCTTCCTTTCCCCTTCGATGACCTTTGAGCTGCCATCAGTGTACAGTATGAGGTCAGGGTTTTCTAAGGGAAGGTGGTCTAGATCCTCCCGCGGTTTCTCGGCTTGGCGGACTATGGTAGCGCAGTCGTGGTGTGGGGTGCCATCATCAGGAAGGGGTAATAGGGTAGCTGGATTCAGGGAATTGACGCGTTTGATGGTGACGTTAGATGGGGTTAATAGAAGGGCTTCGTATCGGTTTAGGCGAGAGTTTGAGAAGTGATGACAACCTCTCAAGGTTAAGAGGGTGGAGACCGAGTGGGGAACATGGATGGTAATTTCATGTCCCAAGACTGTTTCCTGGGCTTTCTCAAGGAGGATCGCAGCGGCGGCAATAGCTCTTAAACAACTCACTGCTCCCTTTGCGGTGTTGTCTAGTTGTAGACTGTAATAGGCTACTGGTCTTTCCTGATCTCGGAAGGGTTGGGTTAGGACCCCTGAGGCGACTCCCATTTGTTCATGGATGAACAGGTTAAAAGGAGTCCGGTAGTCTGGCAGTCCTAAAGCAGGAGCGGACCGTAATTCTCTTTTTAAGCGTTCGAAGGATTTATAAGCTTCCTCTTCCCAGACCAGGGTATCTGGGTGGTCTTGGCGGGTCATAGCGGTTAAAGGCTTCGTTATTTCGCTATAGCCGGCAATCCATGCTCGGCAGAAGCCTGCCATACCAAGGAAGCCGCGTAATTGCCGCTTAGTCTTAGGGAGGGGAATTCTGGTAACGGCCTCGATTCTGTCGGTGGCTAGGCTTCGGGTACCCACTCCTAGGATGTGTCCGAGGTATTTTACTTCCTGTTTACAATATTGTAACTTCTTAGGGGACACCTTGTGTCCTTTCCGGGCTAGTTCTGAGAGGAGATATTTAGTGTCTAATTTGCATGCCTCTTCACTAGTAGAGCACAATAAAATATCATCTACGTAGAGAAGGAGGGCGGAGTTAGCAGGCAGGCACACGTCCTGTAGGTCCTGGTGTAATATGGCGGAAAAGATCGCGGGTGATTCTACGTAGCCTTGGGGCAGCCTTGTCCAAGTTAGCTGGCTGGGTCCCCAGGTAAATGCAAAAAGGAATTGGCTGGCGGGGTCCAAGGGTATACTGAAGAAGGCGGAGCATAGATCCGCTGCAGAGTACCAGGTTGTTCCCGCCGGGATGGCATTTAAGAGGGAGTTAGGGTTGCCCACGACTGGGTGGCGGGGTATTACGAATTGGTTTACCAGTCTCAGGTCTTGGACAAAACGGTACCGGACTGGGGCTCCTTCTGTGGAGGGTTTCTTTATGGGGAGCACTGGGGTGTTACAAGGTGACGCACAGGGAACAAGGATCCCTTTGCTGAGGAAATCTTCTATCATAGGTGTCAGTCCGTCGATTGCTTCTTTGGGTAGAGGGTATTGCTTGGTGCAAGGGAAGGGCCGATCAGTTCTATAGGTAATCCTTACCGGGGTGGCAGATAATAGCAATCCTACAGAAGTTGATTCCGTGCCCCACAGTGAAGGAGGTAATTCATTCTCTAGTTCTGGGGGAAGTTCGGGAAACTGGCGATCTAATTTTTCCTCTAATACCATGCCTTGAAAGGCAGGGACAGAGTCTTCGGGCATGTACAGGTAGATGCCATCTTCAGAACATTTTATGGTGGCATTGAGTTTGCAGAGTAGGTCTCTGCCAAGGAGATTCACTGGGCTGCTCGTTAGGAGGAAGGTGTGTTCCGCCAATAAGGGTCCGAGGGTGACTCTGGCCGGTTGTGAGAGAGGGCAAGTGCGGGGTATCCCGTCCAGTCCCATAACTTTCTTGGTTTCTGACCCGGGTTCTAGGTGGCTGCTAGTCAGGGTCGAGTACGTAGCTCCCGTATCTAATAAACATCGATAGGGGTGGCCATCGATCTCAATCGTGCAGATAGGGTCATCTGGCGATAATGCTAGGACAGGGTAGATGGCTTGGGCCGGACTGAGATTCCCCTTTAATTGTCAGTATGTGTCTTGATCTTCAGGAGGTGGCTGGTTGGGGGTGTAAGGGAGGAGCGGTGGCATTTGCCCAAGAATGAGTGGCTGGAGTCATAGCGGGCATTTGAACCTGTGTGCCCGGTTGAGGTCGGTGGTTTGGAGGTGCTTGCATAGTGGGTTGTTGGTTGCCATATCCCTGGGTTATGTTGGAATGTGGGCGCATCGGGAAAGGAGGATAATTGGTCTGAGCCGGAAAGGGTTTAGAGCCTTGTACTCCATAGGTTGTGGTGTTTAGGTAGGGGCAAAACCTCTTTATGTGTCCCTCTTCTTGGCAGTAATAGCATCCTCCGGTGTTGGGCCCCCATGGTCTGTGGGGAGCGGGGGGACCTCCTCCCCGGCCCCCTCTTCCTCGGTTAAAACTTCTGCCCCGGCTGGAGTTAGGCTCCATGCTCAGCGCTAAGATGTGTTCAGTCTCAGGTTTTGCTTCCTTTCGTTTCCTTTCATCCCGAGAGTTATAAACTGATTTGGCGATGGATAAGATTTCGCTAACGCTCTTCCCATCATATCCTATTTGGAGATTCAGGGCTTTTCTTATATCTGGGCTGGCCTGGTCTTTGAAGAAACCCTTAACGATTACTTCATGTTGGGGGTTCTCCGGGTCTATCCCTCCCCAGGTCTTGATGGCGGAGACCAATCTAGTGTAATAATCCGATGGATGTTCATTTGGTCCCTGTAGTACAGTTTGGACCTTGGTCCAGTTGACAGTACGCTGTCCAGCGGCTTTTACACCGTCTAAGATAGCCCTTTTAAATAGATTTAAGCACCAAATCCCGTTGGTGGTATTGTAGTCCCATGTAGGTTCTATACGCAGGCACTGGGCTGAGAGGGCCGCTAATGCCGCGGGACGTCCCCTCTGGTAGTCCGGTGACTCTATGGCCTCTCCGGCTTTGGTCAGAATGTCCGCCTTTTCAGCTTCATTGAATAGGGCGTTTAAAAGAACGTGGACATCTGGCCAAGTGGGGTTGTGAGTGGAAAAGATGGCGCTGATCTGGCGATGGCATTTATCTGGGTCATCCCTTAGAGAGGGCATTTGATTTGACCAGGTTACTAGGTCGGCAGTATAAAAGGGCTGGTGCGTATAAACCATCCGGGGGCCCCGTCGGGTTGGATGGGCGGAATCGGTAGGGCCCTTAGGGGCATCTGGACCGCTGTGGAACTTCCCTGTCCAGAAGTTCCCGGGGTTTCTTCAGTTTCTTCTATAGGGCGCTCTGTAAGGCTACGGGTTTCTACGATGGGGTTGTTCTTTCTGGCTTGTAACCTCGTGAGCCTCTGGTTCTTACTTCCTCGTGCCCCTCCATCCCCCGTTTCTTCGTCACTATCCGAGCTATCGCTAGGGATGGGTGGTGTCGGTTCCCTATAGTAGAAGGGAACCAGGGCTTGTTCTACTGTATCATCAGCGAAGTGTCCTTCGTAAGGGGGGGGCATAGGCTGCCTTCCGGGATTTAATATGGGCAGCTGATACGATGGTGCTCCCTTCGAGACTTGGAGTAATCCTTTAACTGTCTCGAAGGCTGCCAAATATTCTAACTGGCGGGGTTTTTCTTCCATTAAGTGTCTCCTTAGGTGTTTCAGTCGGTCTTCGTTAAACGAACCTCCCTTGGGCCAACGTAATTCTGGTCGGGCGGAAGTGGTGTTGGCGGGCCAGATTTCTGTGCAGAGGTTCTCTAGTTTTTGCTTCGATAGAAGTTTGTGGCCAGGAATCGACTTCCAATGGATGATTACAAATTCGAGAGGAGAGTCAGGGTCCCTCTGGGACCGGGATGGCTTTCTAGAAGCCTTCCTCCCAGAGTGAGCCCGCTCGTGCTTGGAAGCCTGGGTACCCATTTTATGGTTCACGCGTGTCTGGGTAGAAAAAGGGAGAGAGATATAGGGTCGGTAAGGGTTTATAGGGGCCTGGGTATCTTTCTCGTTGCTTGGCAACCTCTTAACGATTTAGTGAGCTCTTAATATTTAGTTCTCTTTTCCTAATTTCCTCCTTGTCCTTAATTAACAATCAGGGGTCCCTTTCCACTCTGCCAAACCCGCCCAATTCCTCATGAGCTATCCCTCCTGGCAACCTCCTACCTAGCGTTACAATCTCAGAAAAGGGAGCCCTACTGGACGCCCGCGCTGTGCGGTGCCAGATCGGGTGGTCCCCGGATAGGTTTCCGAATCGAAAATCCCCCTTGCTTTCGGAAGCGGGCTCACGATGCACGTGGTCCGACCGGTGCGGCTGGGATTGGGATAGAAAAGCTAGACCACTTCCTGCCTCCTAGGAAGGACGCTCGGGAAGCTCGGAAAGAGAACTCCAACCCCTTGCTTTCAACTGAGATGCCCGTTGCGGAGAGTCGGCTTATTTTGAAGTCGGTTCTCTCCGTCTTACTTTCGGGCTCCCAATTGGTGCGGCTGGCTGGAGGGTTCAGAAAAGAGATAGAGCTCAGAACCCCCCTTTCGGGTCGAGCGGTGGTCCACGGTCTTTCTCGCTAACCGGACCAAGAGAAAGGTGAGAAGGAACGATAGAGAGGAGGGCAGAGAATTCAGTTGCCAGGAGACTTCCACCCCTACCCACCAGTGCACTGGATTTTCCTATACTCACGCGTCTTCTACGATGATCCCGGGATCGATGAATAAGCCGGCTGGATCCCTCTTTGCTCCCCGGCTGAACTCCTAGGGCTTTCGATTACCGCCCGGAAGATGGCCGGAGGTCCAAAAGGATCTTCCCAGGCAAAATGGCCCGGAGCCGGCTGAAGATTTCGGGGCCCCGGTCAGCAGTTCGGGAGAACCGCCAGCCCCACGTTGGGCGCCAACTGTTACGGTAAAATCTGGGTGCGGGGTTACTCTGCCACCCAGCTCGTCGGACTGAGTCCGCGGGTCCCTGCGGGAGAAAATGAGCTCAGCCGGAGACGGGAGCAAGTTCCAGGAAATCCAAGTTTATTGCGCAACAGGTTCAAGATGAAATTGAACCCCGAGTAAGGGGTGACAGGAGTTTTTGAAACTTCCCTCCATGTCCCATAATACAGTGCGAAACGCGTCATGAATACATTACAAAGAGGTTGGGTTACATGGGTGATATCACAGAGAGGTTGGGTTACACGGATTAGCATAGAGGACAGGGAGGAGGGAATATGCAGAGCTGAAGATATGCATAGATAAGCACTTCCTGAGTACCGGTGATGAGAAGACAATGGTCCGAATATGTAAAGTCTGCCACCTGGTATTGCCCGGAGGTAGGGCTGGGCGAGGTGATCTGACCAGATTAAGGTCTTCCTGAGTACGTGACTCCTCGCTCGAGGGATTATGGAGTCCTGGAAAGGCTGAGTCGATTGACACCAGAACCAAGGAAATCGGAGAAGGGGTTGATTTTATATGAATTTAAGAAGTTTTCAGTCTATTTCGTCCATTCTTACAATAATAATAGAAAACGGAAACAAACTAGATACATTTGACAGTTTTACGAGCTAAACTGGATACATTGTAACAGGGTTTGACAGTTTTACGAGGTTACGAGTTTCGATTCCATTGTTCTCTCAGCGGGGAGCTGTCAGCAGCTTGTCAAGAGGTTAAATGAGGCGTGCAGAGGCTCGCTGAGCTGGTTCTGCAGAGCAGATGCACGTATCTGATTGGTCAAGACGCGGCCATTGGAACAAACGGGGATGTATTTTGACACGGTCGACTCATAATAAAGATGGAGCGAGAGAAGGGATAGGGGCTTGGGAGTTTTGGGCTTATTTCGCCCGTGGAAAAGGGGAAAAGGGTTGTGTGTGGTGCTTGTGCGACAGTGAAGAGGCTGGGGAAGGGGTGCATAGTGTAGTGGGCGCTCTTGGGGTCATCGTTTCGGACGTGGGAGGGTGGACCCCCCCCCGTTTACCGTATCACTACAGATCCAATGAAAAGCTTCGCCACCACAAGACCTGCAACAACAACAGACACCAAAGTTTCAAAGTGCCCACAGCTATCTCTTTCAAAGGATATAGACTGCCGGGGGAGTGGGCCTGACAAAGGGGGGTGGAGTTGAATTGCAAGGACATCTTCTCACTTTTGAACCTCAAGACTGTGCTCCAGGATTCAAAAGATACATACATAAAATATCCCAATTGTCTCGAGATATGCAACTGATATTTAATTAGTTTGTATTTGTATTATGTGTTATTACGTAGGAATGTTGAAATGTGTCTGACAGTGTGTTATTTCCACAAATCGGGGGCTATTTTGTGTGTAATTGTTTTTATGTTTAATGTCTTATTCCTTACACCCCAGTGGAGGATTCTCATACATTTTATGCGTTCTAATAGGTCAGGCTATTGTGTAGTCAAATGTTTAGAATTAGATAAATTTATAACCACATTTCGTTGTTTCACCTGGCACTCTGCCAACTTCCCTACCCATTTAAAAATGTGCTAAAACTCGCTTTACCAAGGAGAAGCTTCAGGAAGGTGTATATGCTTTGGTTTAGCAGGAATAATCCCTTATAGAGTTAAATTGACTTATTTGGATGGTTCTGTTTTAACAGAAAAGTTGAGAACCATGGGGCAAGTTTGAATTGGGCAAGTGTATCCAGGCTGCAATTAGCTTTTTGGTCCTTAAAGTGCAAGTGAGCAACTTCCCATGACTGCAAGACCAGAGCCTATAATAATAAAATCCCATAGAATGGCCAAGGCAAAGACATATCTCTCATGACGTGTCCTAAACCTGTGCCAGCTGTGGTGAGTGCCAGGCAACATGGTTAATGTGAAAGCCCTAAGTGGATTCACCAGGGATTGCCACTGCTGTGACACCATGCCGATGTGAGACCACAGAAGAGCTACCTTGACACCTGAGAACACAAACATGGTGGGGGACAAAGCAAACTGCATTTTTCAGTCATTGGTGGACCTTCCCGCTAAATGTAAAGCATAGACCACTATTGAGAAAATATTTCTTCCAAGGTGCTAGAATACCACAAGTAACTGAGCAACAAAATATTAATCTTACGTGATAGCCTATGTCTAACTATGTGCACTGTTACACTGTTATATTTCTATGCAAATATCCTTAAGAAGCGTGACATCCAAGTCCCTTTCAGGTTCACATGGACACACGCATCTGGGACGGAGAATAGCAGGTTAATATTTACCACCTTAAATTGTGCGGAGAAAAGGATTGCAAAGTAGCCACCTTTGCAATCTTATCTCCGAAGGGGGGGAACTGTAGCAGGAACCCCCCCCACCCCAATCATTCAGTTTGTACAAACTTCACACACTCACACTCACACACTACATATGCCACACTTCTGTTATAAATTCATAGAAAAATCAACCATACATTGGATTTGCACTGTTCCATTTTTATTTTACTCCATATGACAAGGACTATCAAAGGGGGGTGGCTTGGTTCTGGTCAGCCATAATCCCTTCACCATCCCAGCACATCCACAGGAGCCCTGCCCAGTTGCTATGCCAACCCTGATGGTCCTAGACAGAAGACCATCAAGATCACAAAGAACTTGCATATGGGAGTGGATTCAGCATGGACTGAAACAAAGGACAATGATCAGATCTTCCCTCTGGGGGCAGGAAACTGCCAACTCCCTTTGTCTCCTGGAAGTGACTCATGGGCCGGGGAAAGGAGGAACCAGCCAGGTGACAGGACACTCAGGTTACCACCACAACTCCTCCCTCAACCCCTCCTTTCTGTAATGTATGCATGATGTCAACCCCTCCTTTCTGTAATGTATGCATGATGTTTCTGGGGGTGGGCTTGACCTAGAGGATGGGAATTTCAAAAGTTTTTATAAGGTCTTGCACACCATCTTTCTGGGTCTTTCCTCTCTCCTGCAAGTGAGGGGAACACCCTGTTGCAACAGTCTTTTCTTCAATAAAGACCAAGCCTACTGGCTGCTGATTTGCTTCCAATTGCTCTGGTTGGTGTCTTTGTTTTTGTCCAAGGGAGCCCTCAGATTTTCCGTTAACAAGGGAGACCCCCAAGAAGGAGTGGCTGAGGGACCCCTGGGTGTGGGGGCGGACTGAGGGGGGCGGGAAGGGAGACCCCCAAGAAGGAGGGCTGAGGGGACCCCTGGGTGTGGGGGCGGACTGGGGGAGGGAAGGAGACCCCAAGAAGGAGGGCTGAGGGACCCCTGGGTGTGGGGGCGGACTGAGAGGGGGAGGAAGGAGACCCCCAGAAGGAGGGCTGAGGGGACCCCTGGGTGTGGGGGCGGACTGAGGGGGGAGGGAAGGAGACCCCCAAGAAGGAGGGCTGAGGGACCCCTGGGTGGGGGGGCGGACTGAGGGGGGGAGCGGAGGGAGACCCCCAAGAAGGAGGGCTGAGGGCAACACCTGGGCGTGCGCCCCGGAGTGAAGGGAGACCCCCAATAAGGAGGGCAGAGGGGACCCCCTGGGGGTGGGGGGCGGAGGGAGACCCCCAGAAGGAGGGCTGAGGGGACCCCTGGGTGTGGGGGGCGGACTGTGGGGGGGGGGAGGGAAGGTAGACCCCCAAGAAGGAGGGCTGAGGGGACCCCCTGGGTGTGGGGGGCGGACTGAGGGGGGGGAGGGAAGGGAGACCCCCAAGAAGGAGGGCTGAGGGGACCCCCTGGGTGTGGGGGGCGGAGGGAAGGGAGACCCCCAAGAAGGAGGGCTGAGGGGACCCCCTGGGTGTGGGGGGCGGAGGGAAGGGAGACCCCCAATAAGGAGGGCTGAGGGGACCCCCTGGGTGTGGGGGGCGGAGGGAGACCCCCCAGAAGGAGGGCTGAGGGGACCCCCTGGGTGTGGGGGGCGGACTGAGGGGAGCGAAGGGAGACCCCAAGAAGGAGGGCTGAGGGACCCCCTGGGTGTGGGGGCGGACTGAGGGGGCGGAGGGAGACCCCAAGAAGGAGGGCTGAGGGGACCCCTGGGTGTGGGGGCGGACTGAGAGGGGGAGGGAAGGAGACCCCCAAGAAGGAGGGCTGAGGGGACCCCTGGGTGTGGGGGCGGACTGAGGGGAGGGGAGGGAGACCCCCAAGAAGGAGGGCTGAGGGGACCCCTGCGTGTGGGGGCGGACTGAGAGGGGGAGGGAAGGAGACCCCCAGAAGGAGGGCTGAGGGGACCCCTGGGTGTGGGGGCGGACTGAGGGGGAGGGAAGGAGACCCCCAAGAAGGAGGGCTGAGGGGACCCCCTGGGTGTGGGGGGGGGACTGAGGGGGGGAGGGAAGGGAGACCCCCAAGAAGGAGGGCTGAGGGGACCCCCTGGGTGTGGGGGGCGGACTGGGGGGGGGAGGGAAGGGAGACCCCCAAGAAGGAGGGCTGAGGGGACCCCCTGGGGGTGGGGGCGGAGGGAAGGGAGACCCCCAATAAGGAGGGCTGAGGGGACCCCCTGGGTGTGGGGGGCGGAGGGAGACCCCCCAGAAGGAGGGCTGCGGGGAACCCCTGGCTGTGGGGGCGGACTGAGGGGGAGGGAAGGAGACCCCGAAGAAGGAGGGCTGAGGGACCCCTGGGAGTGGGGGCGTACTGAGAGGCCGGGAGACCCCCAAGAAGGAGGGCTGAGGGGACCCCCTGGGTGTGGGGGGAGGACTGAGGGGGGGCGGGGGGAGACCCCCAAGAAGGAGGGCTGAGGGGACCCCCTGGGAGTGGGGGGCGGACTGAGGGGGGGGAGGGACGGGAGACCCCCAAGAAGGAGGGCTGAGGGGACCCCCTGGGTGTGGGGGGCGGAGGGAAGGGAGACCCCCAAGAAGGAGGGCTGAGGGGACCCCCTGGGTGTGGGGGGCGGACTGAGGGGGGGAGCGGAGGGAGACCCCCAAGAAGGAGGGCTGAGGGGACCCCTGGGTGTGGGGGGCGGATTGAGGGGGGGGGAGGGAAGGGAGACCCCCAAGAAGGAGGGCTGAGGGGACCCCTGGGTGTGGGGGCGGACTGAGAGGGGAGGGAAGGAGACCCCCAGAAGGAGGGCTGAGGGGACCCCTGGGTGTGGGGGCGGACTGAGGGGGGGCGGAGGGAGACCCCCAAGAAGGAGGGCTGAGGGGACCCCCTGTGGGGGGGGGGCGGACTGAGAGGGGGAGCGGAGGGAGACCCCCAAGAAGGAGGGCTGAGGGGACCCCCTGGGTGTGGGGGGCGGACTGAGGGGGGGCGGAGGGAGACCCCCAAGAAGGAGGGTGAGGGGACCCCCTGGGTGTGGGGGGCGGACTGAGGGGGGGAGGGAAGGGAGACCCCCAAGAAGGAGGGCTGAGGGGACCCCCTGGGTGTGGGGGGCGGAGGGAAAGGGCCCCCCAAGTCTGACTGGGCCTGCCAGCCTCCAAGTCCCAGGGAAGGAGGCGTCTCCGGACCCCAGCTTGGCCTCCCCAATTCAGGGCTGCCCCAGGGAAGATGGGGAGCTGGAGGGCCGACTCTGGGGCTGCGGAGGCCGGACTTGGCAGGGTCTCCCTGGGGATCTGGGATTCCTCTCGAGGAGGCTGCTTGGACCAGGCGGAGCTGTTGCCCTTGCCGGAGACTCCGGGGGAAGCCCCGTCTCCCGGGCGCTGAGTCGGGCTCCGAGGGGCAGAGGGAGGGCTGGGCTTGCAAGGGTTAAGAGGAGCAGAGCGGGAGTCCTAGAGAGGACGGGAAGTGGATGGGGGTGAAGGTCCTCCAGGGCTAAATCCCCCCTCCCCCTCCCTCCCTGCCTTCTTCTTCTCTCTCCTTTGCAAAAGCCCCTCCTGGACTCGGGTGAGTCTCCTCTCTCCTCCCCCTGAGGGTGCAATGGGGAGAAGGGGGTCCCAGGGGGGCAGGGAGGATGAATGGGGGGTCCCTGCTCAGATCATGCCTGGTGGGGGGAGACCCCCAAGTCAGGGAGCAGAGGGTCCTCCCTTGTCCTCTCTGCCAAGCCAGGGAGGGGCCACTTCGCAGGAAATATGCAGCTCTGCTCTTCCTTTTTAGGGAGGGGGTTTTGGGTCAAGGAAAAGTGGGCTGGCAAAGAAACCCCCTTCAGAGGGAGGGATAAGTCACCTTTGTGAACTGAGGCTGCAGCCAGACGGGAACATTCCCACGTGGGGGGAGCACAGGGAGAAGAAAAGCCCGTCTGCATCTGCAGCAGCACAACAGGACCACTTCCTGTGTCCCAGATGCAACAACACACGTCTCTCCCCCATCATTTAAATACACAACAAAATTGTTCCATTAAGCTACTGAAATTAGCATGAAGGAAAAGAATAATGTTAAAACAATGCAGCTATTAAGAGGCAGAAAAGAACAGAGCAATGTGTAGAAAAATATCATCTTTCTTCTCCCTTTTTCCCTTAGGGTCCAGTGTGCTTTGAAGACGTAGCTGTTCCTTTCACAGAGGAGGACTGGGCTTTGCTGGATCCTGACCAGAGAGCTCTGCAGAAGCAAGTCAAGGAGGAGAATCCTGGGATCATGGCCTCTCTGGTAAGGCTCCCTGCTGGATCATAAGATCAGTTTTGAAATTCCATACAGATCTCTGAAGGACAAACCTCCTCTATTTTGAGGGAGCCCCATAGCGCCACCTGCAGCATCTGAGATGTTAACACACCCACAACTCTCCATAGGAGATGTATCTCCTGTTCTGTCTGGGAATATTCTTCCACCAGTCCTGCCTTTTCCAACCGTGAGGAGGCTGGTCTGAGCTGCCCAGGCCTTCTTCAGTGTAATCTTCAGAGATATTAAGGACATGGAGGTACATCCTGTCTAATTTTCTCTTTCCCTTTCTGCATCTGTTTTTGGTTGAGCAAAGAAATGACTGAGCTTGGAGATGGGAGGGCTGGGCTTGCAAGGGTTAAGAGGAGCAGAGCTGGATTCCTAGAGAGGATGGGAAGTGGAGGGGGAGTGAAGGTCCTCCAGGGCTAAATCCCCCCTCCCCCTCCCTCCCTGCCTTCTTCTTCTCTCTCCTTTGCAAAAGCCCCTCCTGGACTCGGGTGAGTCTCCTCTCTCCTCCCCCTGAGGGTGCAATGGGGAGAAGGGGGTCCCAGGGGGGCAGGGAGGGGCATGGGGGTCCCTGTTCAGATCATGCCTGGGGGGGGAGACCCCCAAGTTAGGGAGCAGAGGGTCCTCCCTTGTCCTCTCTGCCAAGCCAGGGAGGGGCCACTTCGCAGGAAATATGCAGCTCTGCTCTTCCTTGGGATCCAGATGCTGCCTTCCTTTCGGGGAGGGGGCTTTGGGTCAAGGAAATAAACCCCCTTCAGAGGGAGGGAAAAGTCACATTTAAGAACAGAGGTTGTAGCCAGACGGGAACATTCCCACATGGGGGGAGCGCAGGGAGAAGAAAAGCCCGTCTGCATCTGCAGCAGCACAACAGGACCACTTCCTGTGTCCCAGATGCAACAACACACGTCTCTCCCCCATCATTTAAATACACAACAAAATTGTTCCATTAAGATACTGAAATAAGCATGAAGGAAAAGAATAATGTTAAAACAATGCAGCTATTAAGAGGCAGAAAAGAACAGAGCAATGTGTAGAAAAATATCATCTTTGTGCTCCCTTTTCCCTTAGGGTCCAGTGTGCTTTGAAGACGTAGCTGTTCCTTTCACAGAGGAGGACTGGGCTTTGCTGGATCCTGACCAGAGAGCTCTGCAGAAGCAAGTCAAGGAGGAGAATCCTGGGATCGTGGCCTCTCTGGTAAGGCTCCCTGCTGGATCATAAGATCAGTTTTGAAATTCCATACAGATCTCTGAAGGACAAACCTCCTCTATTTTGAGGAGCCCCATAGCGCCACCTACAGCATCTGAGATGTTAACACACCCACAACTCTCCATAGGAGATGTATCTCCTGTTCTGTCTGGGAATATTCTTCCACCAGTCCTGCCTTTTCCAACCGTGAGGAGGCTGCTCTGAGCTGCCCAGGCCTTCTTCAATGTAGGCTTCAGAGATCTCAGGGATGTGGAGGAACATCCTGTCAAATTTTCTGTTTCCCTTTCTGCATCTCTGTTTTTGGTTGAGCAAAGAAATGACTGAGCTTGGAGATGGAGCGGATTCCACGACTGAGCCAAATTAAATCCATCCCTGGAACAGAGCCAGGCTTTTCGAATCTCCAGTTCCCATAAATAAGTTAGGTAATACCAGCCAAAAAGGCAGTAACTCCTTCCCTTCTTCCTCTTTCACAAACATTCATTTGCATTCTTCAGTCATTTCAGCCTCAATTTCTTCCTCAGGCTAGGATTATGATTATGATTATGATTATTAATGATATCAGGAAACATGATGAGGAATTAAGGGGAAAGACAGTGTTGACCCAGAGTAGTTACAAAATGTATGTTCTCTCCCCAAGTGCCACAGACCCACCTCCAAAGAGAGCTTCTCTGAAGAAAGCACAAGCAAAAATCAATTTTACGTGAATAAGAAAAATGAGGAGGTGGCTAAGAAACAGCAGGAGCCAGATCCTATTACTGACCTTATAGGATCTCTCAGCAGCTCTAAGGATGAGCAGAAAGAGGTTTTGGGCCCAGGCAGCTCAACTGCTAAGTCATCTCTGGCACTGAGACCAGGAGCTCAAGCGACTCAAGGCCAAATTCAGGCTAAACAAGTAGAGGAACTAATGAGAAAGAAAATTTCAGAACTATCCTCAGGAAATGCTAATACAAGGATAAAAGACTCCTTCTCCCAAGCCTCTGGTGCAAATGAGGAATTATCAGTCATTGGGTGACTTGTACTGCTAACAAGGGACATAGAATGCATAAAATCCTTTTGGCTGACTGTAATAAAATTCTTACCATCCTGATAGGTACTTGTAAAACCTTCTGGAATAAAATCTGGCAGAGTCTGTGGAACCAGATAATACAACAATATCTCTTTCCCTACCATTAAAAATAGATCAATAAGGGAGGTTTAATTCGTCCACATGGCAAAAGGAGGTCTATAAGTACAAAGAAGAGCAAAAATGTTAAAAAAAATTAAAATCGTGCAATATTAAAAAGTTGACTTAAAAATACCTTTTAACTTACTTAAGAGTAGCTCATGCTCTGGGTCCAGACAGAACACTTAAGAAGCTTGTACTGTACAGTGGTACCTTGGGTTAAGTACATAATTCGTTCCAGAGGTCCATTCTTAACCTGAAACTGTTCTTAACCTGAAGACCACTTTAGCTAATGGGGCCTCCTGCTGCTGACGCGCCGCCGGAGCATGATTTCTTTTCTCATCCTGAAGCAAAGTTCTTAACCCGAGGTACTATTTCTAGGTTAGCGGAGTCTGTAAGCTGAAACGTATATAACCTGAAGCCTATGTAACCCGAGGTACCACTGTACTGGAATTTGCACACCAGATCCTTATATCAATATGAAACGATATGCAAGGTTATCAAATGGTCTGCTGTCCTGTCAGAAGCCAAAATCAAACCAGGGAGAGGGTTTTGATAAACAAGAATTGGAAATGGGTGCTGTCTCAAAATAAGCTACTTCTCTCAAGCTACCATAAGCCTTTGGGAATCTTGTCACAAGAGGAGTGTAAAGTTTGTGAACATAGTGCATAAGCACAGAGAATATCTAAGGAGGAGTGGTGTATCAGTCTGAAGATTATTCAAAAATGTGGCATCACCAGCTCCTCTGCTTCCACATACAGCAACACCTCCAAAAGTCCTCAGTTCAAGGCAGACTATCCTGCTTTAGTTGACATATACTCTGCAGGTGACAATCCTGACTAGCCAGCTGACCTGGACCCCAAGGAACCCCATAACTCAGACAGCCCTGGGTCCTTGCACTTGAGAAATCTAGGGAAGGACCTACTTGACAGAACTGAAAAGAATTGATTGCATGTCTTCTGTGCTCTGCCGTAAGAAGCCCAGAATGAAATATTCCCCAGATTTGACCTCTGACGTTCTTGCCTAATAAGTTTGAAGGAAGGAACACAAGGGCTCATGCAAGCAGAACTTGACCCTTTGTGCTCCAGATCCAGCCCACCAGATATTCCAGCATGAGTTGAATTTATGGGCTGAAAAGCCACCTCCTCCCACCAGCAGGTTAATGAACCCTCTTTCCTACCAATTGGAGATGAAGAGCTTCCCCAAAGATTTGGTCCACATGCAAGAGGCAAATATGGCCAAAACATCTGCGTCAACAGGACTCTCCGTAGAAAGCACCAAGCATGGGGCCACTTACAGGTATTAGCTACTCATCTGTTTTCTGCCCATGCTCTGGGGTTGCAGTTTTCAGGCTCAGGGACAGGATGGTAACTCGTTTTGGCACCAAGTTCTGTTCATAAGCCCCAATGAGTTCAATGGGATCAACTCTCAGGTCACTATTGTGCAGACCCTGCCATCCTTACGAAGTGGGGTGATTAGCAAACGGGAAACTGCAAGCACTGGAGATGTTTACAAATGGGGCTTCTGATGAGAAGGGGCTGCCCCACTTGTTCTTCTCCAGAGGCAGGAGAATATCTAGGGCAGGAGAATCCCTGCAGGGCCTCTGAGGCTCCCTTTGCTTCTTCCTCTCTCCCAGGACCCTGCAGCTTCTTCTGGCTCCTTGACTCCACAGGAAGGATGAAAGAGACGCATCCTGCAAAGCTAGCAAGGATGGAAGGGGGAAGATGGACGGTTGACCTGGTCAGGTTGTCTCCTGCATCCCTCCTCTCAACCTCTGAGCGTTCCCTCCCAGGGACCTCCGAGAGATCTGGTGAGTCCCAGAGGAGTGGAGATGGGGACATGGAGGGATGGATGGAGGGTGGAAGAGGGGAAGCTCTCTGGCCAGAAATGAGATAAAGCAGGGATTTTACTGTGGAAGCTGTGGATGGGGCCCCCAACATTGGGAGGCTTCCCCCCAGCCAGAAAATCCCTGCAGGGCCTCTGAGGCTCCCTTTGCTTCTTCCTCTCTCCCAGGACCCTGCAGCTTCTTTTGGCTCCTTGACTCCTCAGAAAAATGTTGGCTTTTTGCAGTATGGTAGCGCTGCAGAGAGCTTGCTGGGGAGACCATGCATTAAAAAGGGACTCAAAAATAACTTAAACAAGGTTTTAATAACAAAAACAAAAACTCCTTTTACACTAAATACATCAACAAAACAAACCAGACCCAACCACCAACCCATCCCCCAGGGTAATGGGAGAGCTAGGTGCAGCTCCTTATATACTACACCCAATTGCCAACACGGCTTAATCAATACAACTCAGCAGCACCTGCTATGTTTCACAGCTGTAAAGCTGGGTCTCGTTATCTTGCTCTGGCCCCTTAAAGACATACACATCGGGTGGAACAATGATGAACCTTTACATATAAAGAAACCATTCAACAGAAGGATGAAAGAGACGGATCCTGCAAAGCTAGCAAGGATGGAAGGGGGAAGTTGGACGGTTGACCTGGTCAGGTTGTCTCCTGCATCCCTCCCCACAACCTCTGAGCGTTCCCTCCCAGGGACCTCCGAGAGATCTGGTGAGTCCCAGGGGAGGGGAGATGGGGACCTGGATGGATGGAGCCAGAGAGGAATTGGGGCTTGCTCAGCTTGGGGGTGGGGGGAGGCAGGCAGGCAGATGGAGATGGAGAAGGGGAGCACCTTTTTGGGCTCCCCCGCCTGCCTCCCTGCCTGCCTGCACCTTTGTCATCTGCAGGCAATTTGAGCTAGGAATAGATCACAGCTCCCCAGCCACCGCGATGTACAGTGATTCCATGATTGAGCCACAAAAATATCCATCCCAGATAAAAGCCAAGCAATATCTCAGTTAATACCAGCCAACTAAGGAAGTGAAACCTATAGGACGGCCTCACATCTCATTCTCTTCAGTTCTTCCTCTGTCACAAGCATTCATTAACATTGTTCAATAATCTGGAGCTCCCATTTCCTCCTGAGACTAATTAGCTTCTCTCTTCATTGCAGATGGTGATGAATCAGAAGGGAAGAACAAGGGGAGCACAACAGAATCCCCATAGCGGAGAAGTCATATAAATATTCAGAGTGTGGAGAGAAGATCCGTCAGAGTTCCCAGTCCACCTCCCATCAAAGAAAGAGCTTCATTCGAAGGAATACCCTGACTTCACATGAAAGAACACAGAGTAGGGAGAAATTGTATCAGTGCAGAGTATGTGGAAAGAGCTTCAATCGAAAGGGTAATCTAACTTTGCATCAAAGAGTTCATACAGGGGAGAAACCATATAATTGCTTGGAATGTGGAAAGAGCTTCAGTCACTGGGGGAATCTCACTTCCCATCAAAGAGTTCATACAGGGGAGAAACCGTATCAGTGCTTGGAATGTGGGAAGAACTTTAGTCACCGCCAGAATCTCGCTTCTCATCAAAGAATTCATACAGGGGAGAAACCGTATCAGTGCTTGGAATGTGGAAAGAGCTTCAATCGGAAGGGTCACCTCACTTCCCATCACAAAATTCATACAGGGAGAAACCCTATCAGTGCTTGGAATGTGGGAAGCGCTTCAGTCAGGAGGGGAATCTCACTTCTCATCAAAGAATTCATACAGGGAGAAACCCTATCAGTGCTTGGAATGTGGAAAGAGCTTTCGTCTGAGTGGTGATCTCACTTCCCATCAAAGAATTCATACAGGGATAAACCCTATCAGTGCTTGGAATGTGGAAAGAGCTTCAGTAAGTGGGTGAATCTCACTTTTCATCAAAGAATTCATACAGGCGAGAAACCCTATCAGTGCTTGGATTGTGGAAAGGGCTTCAGTCGGAAGGAAAGTCTTACTACCCATCAAAGAATTCATACAGGGCGAAACCCTATCAGTGCTTCGAATGTGGAAAAGGTTTTTGTCTGAGTGGTCATCTGACTTCCCATCAAAGACTTCATACAGGAGAGAAACCGTATCACTGCTTGGAATGTGGAAAGAGCTTTCGTCTGAGTGGTGATCTGACTTCCCATCAAAGAGTTCACACAGGGGAAAACCCTATCAGTGCTTGGAATGTGGAAAGAGCTTTCGTCAGAGTGGTGATCTGACTTCCCATCAAAGAATTCATACAGGGGAGAAACCCTATATGTGCTTGGAATGTGGGAAAAGCTTCCGGGAGGGCCACAAGCTCACTTCCCATCAAAGAATTCATACAGGTGAGAAACCCTATCAGTGCTTGGAATGTGGAAAGAGCTTCAGTCAAAGTGCCACACTCTCTTACCATCACAGAATTCATACAGGGGAGAAACCCTATCAGTGCTCAGAATGTGGGAAGCGCTTCAGTCAGGAGGGGAATCTCACTTCTCATCAAAGAATTCATACAGGGAGAAACCCTATCAGTGCTCAGAATGTGAAAAGAGCTTCAGTCGGAAGGATAGTCTCACTTCCCATCAAAGAATCCATACAAGAGAGAAAACGGTTTAGTGTTTGGAATGTGGGAAAAGATTCGTTCATGGCCCACCAAATAATTCATACGGGGTTGAAAGCATATCAGCACACGGAATGTGTATAAAATTTCACTTGTTCAAAAGTCAATTTAAGATCTCACACCAGGGTGAAGTATAGAATTATAGATTCAGAATCTAGTCCAGCCCCCTCCAGAAATCTCATTTCAAGCATCCATGACAGGTGGCCATCCAACTTCTTCTTAAAACCCCCCAATGAAGGTCCACCCCCTTCTGAGAGAGTTCCTTTTCACAGTCAGCTCTTACTATCAGAGAGAAAATATAAAAAAGACTTTGGAGAAGACTTCCGGTGTGATGGCCTATGGCGTTTGGCTGCTTTCCCAGGACACCGGACCCTAGTCGTGCAATTAAACAAGGTGAATCTGGGGGTAATTATCCCTGTTGAACCCTGCAGGGATGGGGCGCACATGCCATCCGATATCTGCTGCTCGCTACAGTGGAGGCAGGGGCGCTGGGTGTTTAGCATTGCACGAGTTGGAAAATCTCCAATGCCAACGCCATGAGCGGGAGCATTCCTGTTTTTCAACAAAGATTTGAATTTGGACTTTGAAAGGACTTTTGTCGCTCTGCTACAGAAGATGTGAAGTGAGCGTCTCATCTTTGCTTATACTTGCTACTGTTGGGCCAACGCCCTCCCTCATTTGTCCGAATGGTGAGGAACTTCGCCCGTAGTAGCAGAGTACAGCAGAAGCAGACTCTGGCTGGAAAGCAGCATCGAGAAGATAAGAAGGCAACAGAGCGACGAGCTGACTCACGCAGCCGTATCCTTCAGCAAAAGCCAGATGCAAGGACCAGAGGGGAGGAGGAGGAGATATAGAAATCGCTCCCGTTCTCACACGATGATACATTAGGTAATTAGGCAATTAAAGGCACAGTGTCACACTGTGCAATGAAAGAATGAAACACTGCAGTACTGACACCTACTTCATGATTTGGCAAGCCTCATGGAGAAAGATTCAATTAATTAAATGGAATGCAAGTGAATCTTCATTAAAAAAACTTGAGAATTTGATGTTTAATGGTGCGGTCCTTTGTGGAGGGCTCTAATTAGAACTGGCAAGGTATCAGCTTGTTTGAAGATATGGAGAGACTTTGTTGAAATACCGTGTTACCAGAGAATGAGGCTGTAATTTCAACTGCGTCACACGCCATCTTCTCTCCTTTTTGTTATTGTTTGAGTCCAGATAGAGAGTAATCTGGCGTCCCGCCAAAGCTCTGGCAAGACTCCAGCTTCTCCTTCCGTCCAACTCTCTCAATAACGATCTGGCATCCTGCCAAAGCCATAGCCGATCATCAAAGCTCAAACTCCATTTCCTTCCATAGGAATACAGTCCAAATTGTTTGTCCAGCAATTTCTTTTCCACTTTTTAATCTCAATCTTTAATCTTAATGTAATATAACATTAAAATTTTACCTCTTAAGTACCAAATTTCCATTTCCTTAAACATCTTTAATCCTAATCTTTAATCTTAGTCTATCTATAACTTTAAATCCTGTACAGCTGGAAACCACTTATTTTCAATTCAACATCACTCTAACATTCTTTAATTTTGCAGTGTTTCTGAAGATAGTCTTTGAATTTCTTCCAATCTTCCTCCACCAAGTCTTCTCCCTGGTCACGGATTCTGCCAGTCATTTCCGCCAATTCCATGTAGTCCATCATTCCTCCAGTGTGGGTAGCTCTTGTGTCTTCCAATACTTTGCGATGAGTATTCTTGCTGCTGTTGTTGCATACATAAAGAAAGTTCTATCCTTTTTTAGCACCATTTGGCCGACCATGCCCAGGAGAAAGGCCTCTGGTTTCTTAGGGAAGGTATATTTAAATACCCTTTTCATTTCATTATAAATCATCTCCCAGAAAGCCTTAATCTTTGGGCACGTCCACCAAAGGTGAAAAAATGTACCTTCAGTTTCTTTACATTTCCAACATTTATTATCGGGCAAATGATAGATTTTTGCAAGCTTGACTGGGGTTATGTACCACCTGTATATCATTTTCATAATATTCTCTCTTAAGGCATTGCATGCCGTAAATTTCATACCTGTGGTCCACAACTGTTCCCAGTCAGCAAACATAATGTTATGTCCAACGTCTTGTGCCCATTTAATCATAGCTGATTTTACCGTTTCACATTAACTGTGAAATCTATCGCTCTTACAGAAGATTCTTCAGTTTGGGAAAATATCAGTCAGTTAAAATACATTACATGTGTCTTAATTTTAACTAAACAAAGGAAAGCAGGAAGACAGCCCAGAGTCCTGGAAGATAAGATGGTGGAATGAAATAGGGCCTTCTGAGGAGGGACTGCACCGAAAACAATTGATGGACAACAACAAGAAGAGCACAATTTTCATCATGCATGTTAATTTAGATATAGATCTGTTAAATATGATGAAAGTTGCATGCCAGTGGCTGTCAAGATAAGATAAAGGATTAAGATCGGGATGATATTGGGAATAAATAAAGAGAGAAAAGTAGGAACAAGAACCAAAAAAAATAAATAAACCTCATCAATCTTTGACTTTTGTCTTCTGGGTTTCCTAGTTGTTATTCTGTCTCTCACAGCTACAATAAACCTACCATTAATATTGTGGACTAGGCATTTCTTCGTCAGAGGGCAAAAACCCAAATTTAGCGGGGATCAAATACTTTCCCCCCTCACTCTAGATGTTTACACTCTCACACGCACCTGGCTCTCATTTGGAGGAGGAGTGAGAGGCGGAGGCTCTTTACTTCTAGAATGGCATTTCCCTCGCACCTCCTTTCCTCCCAGGAGCTCCCCCTTCCACAACAACCCTGCCAGGCTGGCCTCTTGCATGTCGCCCCCTTTCCAGCAGGCGAAGCTGCAGGGGCCACTCACTTCCTGGCCCTCCAAAAATGGAGGAGGCCTTTGACCCTGGATGAGCCTGAGAGGAGCCTTGAGGGGGGCAGAGAGGGGCTCGCCCCTTCCCAGACTTTTCCGCCATCCATTTCTTAGTACTAAACATTAGGCCTTGCGGGGCTCTGACACCCAGCAGTTATGCTGAAGATTTTCAAACCCTAAGAGTTTAAAATAGATAGATGGATAATTGAGAGACGTAGATGATCTCTAGATAGATGGCAGCTGCCGGATGCCCCCCTTGGTTGGGCCTGTGATGGACAGCAGAGCCAGGCCAGTCAGCGGACTTAGTCCCTCAGAAATTCCCCCAGGGGGCGGGAGCCTCGCTCTGATTGGCTGCCAAGCCAGTGGGGGGCGGAGCCAGCCCTTTTGGCGGGGAAAAGGCAAGGCGCCTTTTCTGAGGGGGGAGCTTGGAGGGGAAGGTGGGGAGGAGAGGAAGAGGAGTCAGGTGGGAGTTGAAGGGGAGAAGTTGGGGGGAGGGAAGGGAGACCCCCAAGAAGGAGGGTGAGGGGACCCCTGGGTGTGGGGGCGGACTGAGGGGAGGGAGGGAGACCCCCAGAAGGAGGGCTGAGGGACCCCTGGGTGTGGGGGCGGACTGAGAGGGGGAGGAAGGAGACCCCAAGAAGGAGGGCTGAGGGACCCCTGGGTGTGGGGGCGGACTGAGGGGAGGGAAGGAGACCCCAAGAAGGAGGGCTGAGGGACCCCTGGGTGTGGGGGCGGAGGAAGGAGACCCCAAGAAGGAGGGCTGAGGGACCCCTGGGTGTGGGGGCGGACTGAGGGGGGCGGAGGGAGACCCCAAGAAGGAGGGCTGAGGGGACCCCCTGGGTGTGGGGGGCCGGACTGAGGGGGGGAGGAGGGAGACCCCCAAGAAGGAGGGCGGAGGGGACCCCTGGGTGTGGGGGCGGACTGAGGGGGGGAGGGAAGGGAGACCTACAAGAAGGAGGGCTGAGGGGACCCCCTGGGTGTGGGGGGCGGACTGAGAGGGGGGAGGGAAGGGAGACCCCCAAGAAGGAGGGCTGAGGCGACCCCCTGGGTGTGGGGGGCGGAGGGAAGGGAGACCCCCAAGAAGGAGGGCTGAGGGGACCCCCTGGGTGTGGGGGGCGGACTGAGGGGGGGGGCGGGGGGGAGACCCCCAAGAAGGAGGGCTGAGGGGACCGCCGGGGTGGGGGGGGCGGACTGGGGGGGGGGGCGGAGGGAGACCCCCAAGAAGGAGGGTTGAGGGGACCCCTGGGTGGGGGGGGCGGACTGGGGGAGGGAAGGAGACCCCCAAGAAGGAGGGCTGAGGGGACCCCCTGGGTGTGGGGGGCGGACTGGGGGGAGGGAAGGGAGACCCCCAAGAAGGAGGGCTGAGGGGCCCCCCTGGGTGTGGGGGGCGGACTGTGGGGGGGAAGGGGACCCCCAAGAAGGAGGGCTGAGGGGACCCCCTGGGTGTGGGGGGCGGACTGAGGGGGGGGAGGGAAGGGAGACCCCCAAGAAGGAGGGCTGAGGGGACCCCCTGGGTGTGGGGGGCGGACTGAGAGGGGGGCGGAGGGAGCCCCTAAGCGCAGGCGCGGGGAGAGGGAGGGCTGGGCTTGCAAGGGTTAAGAGGAGCAGAGCTGGAGTCCTAGAGAGGACGGGAAGTGGAGGGGGGTGAAGGTCCTCCAGGGCGAAATCCCCCCTCCCCCTCCCTCCCTGCCTTCTTCTTCTCTCTCCTTTGCAAAAGCCCCTCCTGGACTCGGGTGAGTCTCCTCTCTCCTCCCCCTGAGGGTGCAATGGGGAGAAGGGGGTCCCAGGGGGGCAGGGAGACCCCCAAGTCGGGGAGCAGAGGGTCCTCCCTTGTCCTCTCTGCCAAGCCAGGGAGGGGCCACTTCGCAGGAAATATGCAGCTCTGCTCTTCCTTTTTAGGGAGGGGGTTTGGGGTCAAGGAAAAGTGGGCAGGCAAAGAAACCCCCTTCAGATGGAGGGATAAGTCACCTTTGTGAACAGAGGCTGCAGCCAGACGGGAACATTCCCACGTGGGGGGAGCGCAGGGAGAAGAAAAGCCCGTCTGCATCTGCAGCAGCACAACCGGACCACTTCCTGTGTCCCAGATGCAACAACACACGTCTCTCCCCCATCATTTAAATACACAACAAAATTGTTCCATTAAGATACTGAAATAAGCATGAAGGAAAAGAATAATGTTAAAACAATGCAGCTATTAAGAGGCAGAAAAGAACAGAGCAATGTGTAGAAAAATATCATCTTTGTGCTCCCTTTTTCCCTTAGGGTCCAGTGTGCTTTGAAGACGTAGCTGTTCCTTTCACAGAGGAGGACTGGGCTTTGCTGGATCCTGACCAGAGAGCTCTGCAGAAGCAAGTCAAGGAGGAGAATCCTGGGATCGTGGCCTCTCTGGTAAGGCTCCCTGCTGGATCATAAGATCAGTTTTGAAATTCCATACAGATCTCTGAAGGACAAACCTCCTCTATTTTGAGGGAGCCCAATAGCGCCGCCTACAGCATCTGAGATGTTAACACACCCACAACTCTCCATAGGAGATGTATCTCCTGTTCTGTCTGGGAATATTCTTCCACCAGTCCTGCCTTTTCCAACCGTGAGGAGGCTGCTCTGAGCTGCCCAGGCCTTCTTCAATGTAGGCTTCAGAGATCTCAGGGATGTGGAGGAACATCCTGTCAAATTTTCTGTTTCCCTTTCTGCATCTCTCTGTTTTTGGTTGAGCAAAGAAATGACTGAGCTTGGAGATGGAGCGGATTCCACGACTGAGCCAAATTACATCCATCCCTGGAACGAGCCAGGCTTTTCGAATCTCCGGGTCCCATAAATACGTTAGCTAATACCAGCCAAAAAAGGCAGTAACTCCCTTCCCTTCTTCCTCTTTCACAAGCAGTCATTTGCATTGTTCAATCATTTCAGCCTCAATTTCTTCCTCGGGCTAGGATTATTGTTATTATTATTATTATAAATGAGAATACTGCCAAATAACAGCAGATTGTAGGTGGTGAATTGGAAAGGAAGAAGAAGGGAGACAACAAGAAAAATCCACACAATGGAGAAACCATATAAATATTCAGAGTGTGGAGAGAACTTTAGTCGGAGCTCCCAGTCCACTTCCCATCAAGGAAAGCTCTTCGTTCAGAAGGAGAGCCTCACTTCACATGAAAGAACTAACGGGGGGAAGAAATTAGTGCTTGAAACGTGAGGAAAGCTTCCTTCGCAGCTCCATTCTCAATTCCCAAGAGATACTTCATACAGGGGAGTGTTTGGAAAAGCTTCACCTGGAAAACCTGTCTCAGTTTCCATTCAATAAATCACAGCAAGGATAATCACAGAATTTTAGAAAATGGTATAAGGCATAAGGTATAACTGGAATCAGGAAACTTGATGAGGAATTAAGGGGAAAGACAGTGTTGACCCAGAGTAGTTACAAAATGCATGTTCTCTCCCCGAGTGCCACAGACCCTCCTCCAAAGAGAGCTTCTCTAAAGAAAGCACAAGCAAAAATTACTCCATTTTATATGAATAAGAAAACGAGGAGGCGGCTAAGAAACAGCAGGAGCCAGATCCTATTACTGACCTTATAGGATCTCTCAGCAGCTCTAAGGATGAGCAGAAAGAGGTTTTGGGCCCAGGCAGCTCAACTGCTAAGTCATCTCTGGCACTGAGACCAGGAGCTCAAGCGACTCAAGGCCAAATTCAGGCTAAACAAGTAGAGGAACTAATCTGAAAGCAAAATTCAAAATTAAAGCAAGTATAAAAGACTGCTACTCCCAAACTTCTGGGACAACAGAGGGATTATCAGTCTTTGGGTGGCTTGTAGTACTAACAGATTGCATGGAACACTTAAAATCCTTTTTGGCTGACTGTAATAAAATTCTTACCATCCTGATAGGTACTTGTAAAACCTTCTGAATAAAATCTAGCAGAGTCTGTGGAACCAGATAATACAACAATTTCTCTTTCCATACCATTAAAAATGGATCAATAAGGGAGGTTTGATTCGTCCACATGGCAAAAGGAGGTCTATAAGTACAAAGAAGAGCAAAAGTCTTAAAAATTTTAAAAATAGTGCAATATTAAAAAGTTGACTTGAAAATACTTTTTAACTTACTTAAGAGCAGCTCATGCTCTTTTTTTTAAAGATATTTATTAGAATTTCACAAGAAAAGGATCCCATTAATAAGAAAATTAACAATAGAAAGAAAAATACAGAATACAAAGTACAAAAAAGAAAAAGAAAAACAGTTAAAAACAATTCCATCTTTTCATCACTTCTTTTACGTTTACTTGTTTCCCGGACCTCCTCATACCTCCCTCTTTTGTATTCCAATTCAGTTTGTTAGTCCAGCAATTCCTTTCCCTCCTTTTTAATCCTGATCTTAATCTTAATATATTATAACATTAACATTTACCTATTAAAAACCAATTTTTCCAATTCTTTTAACCATTACTGCTAGAAACCGCTTAACTTCAATCCGTCATCATTCTAACATTCATTAATTTTACAATATTTCTGTAAGTAGTCTTTAAATTTCTTCCAATCTTCTTCCACCGACTCTTCTCCCTAGTCTCGTATTCTGCCAGTTATTTCCGCCAATTCCATATAGTCATCATTTTCATCTGCCATTCCTCCAGTGTGGGTAGATCTTGTGTCTTCCAATACTTTGCAATAAGTATTCTTGC